CGTTGACAGCACAGCCTTTGGGTTCAGACTTGTTTAGATTGGGTGCCTCCCAGAAACCCCATCTAAAGAAACCCCATTATTTGTGGCCAGGGTGGCCACCGTCGGTGCTCAAGGCAAGAGCTGCTGACTTGCTGGGGGGAGGCTCAGCTGTGTCCTCAATGTCTAAGTGGGCCATAAGAAAATTCCCCAGTTACCCGTGACACTTCCCCAAAGGGGAGAAATTTCTAAGGGAGAGAAGAGAACGCAAGCTGACAACATCCCCTCCCCTCTTCCTTGTAGCCTGGGGGGTCAGAAACCTGCTCCCCTAACTGCAATCCTCAGCCTGCCTGGCTAGGTTTAACTGGGTCTTCCCAAATGCCACCAGTCCCCCAAGGTCCGTCCCGGGAGGCTGGGTGTGGAGGGAAAGAGGCGGCAGCAAGTGCTGGTGGCAGGGAACCACCTGGGGCCACAGGTCCGGCTCTTGCCTGTAGGTGCTGAGCCCAGAGCTTGGGGAGACGGACGAGGTCCGGGAGCTGCTCGGTGCCCACCCTGGGACAGTGGTCTGTACTCACCGTGGCTGTCACTTTGTCCCAGTCGGTCACAAAGGTACGGAAGCCCTCACCAAACAGGGTGCCTGCCGTCCTGCGGGGGGTGGGGAGACAGTGCCATCAGCTGGAGGAGGTGGGAGGCCTATGGGGAGGAGGGGGCAGGATCCCAGCACACGGGGCCTGGCCAGGCATCTCGGCCTGTGCATGGAGCCCCCACCTGATGGACTCCAGGATGGTCTGCCGGTGCTCAGCGGCCTTCAGGCGGATCTGCTCGCGGATGATGTCTGCGTTCTCCCGGTCGGCCTTGGCCCGGGCCCTCGCCTCGGCCTCCACCCGCAGCATCTCGTTCTTGTGCCTCAGCTCCATCTCCCGCTCCACCGTGGCTGTGGGACAGGGGGCTCAGCCAGGTCCCCGCCAGCCCCTAGCCCCGAGGACACACACGAACCCCACCCGAGGGCCAGACCTCAGACCCCTGCACCCTGCAGCCTTGGAGGAGCCAGGCAACCCGACTCCCAGACCATGCTGGAAGGGGCACAGGGTGAAGCAGAGAGAGAGAGAGAGAAGGGCAAAAGAAACCCACTACACAGAGACACTGCGAGGGGCACGCACCGCACCGTGCCTGCCTCTGCCCCTGGCAGCGGCCCGCTACCACACGGCTACAGAGCGCCGAGGGGCCGGTGGCGACTTGCGAGCATGGGTGAGAACATGGCTTGAGCCCGTGAGCTGCTGCATGGTGGGTGGCTAAGTGAGGAGGCGCTGCGCTTCCCTTGGGCAGGACACGGATCTCCACTCCAAGGAGCAACGTCTGACCTCCAGGACACAGACCTTACAGGAAGGATCTCAGGGCCCCAGGGGAAGTGGTGCCAGGGGTCACAGGTACCCATGGAAACATCTGCCACCCAAGGCCCTTGTTTGCGGGTCTTCGGGCCTCTCTCCTGGCTGGGGTGGGTGGGGCAGGGGGAGCTCGGGGTTATAACTTGCCTCTCCCCCCACCTTCCAGAGCCAGGGGTCCCGCTACCTCGGCGTATGGCCTCTTGCTTCTGCACGGACTCCTCCTGCTTCCGCAAGTTCTCCTCGTTGAGGAGTTGCTGAGAAGAGGGACGAGGGTCAGACGCAGAAGGGCAGGAGTGCTCGGGGTCCACGCGCCCCGTTTAACCTCTGCACCCCAAGTTCTCAGGTGGCCCGTGCACCCTGCTCTCTCCACACCCACCGCACGCTCCCCAGAGGGCAGCTGTGTGCCTGTTACAAGAGAAGCAAGAGCCCAGGAGAGGCCGCTGCTCCTGGAAAAGGCAAACCACACACTTAGCAGGCGGGCCGGGGCACCACGGAGCACAGGGCCCTGGACCTGCTGGCCAGGCATGACCTTCTCATGACGCTACCCCTGTGCCACGGAGTGGTGCAGGAGCCTGCCTGGTACAGAGACTGCGCCCCCATCCTCGTGCCCAGAGGTGACCGCCAGAGGTGACCGCGAGGGTGTGCCCCAGGTCCCTGTGTGTACACGTGGTTGTCCAGCAACAGAAATCCGAGTGAAGTGCCTTCAGGCCCCGGCGCTTGCCATCAGGAGCATGCCCAAAGCACCCCCATGCTTGGGGCACCGGGAAGACCCTGGCTCTTTTGGGGAGGTCAGCAGCCCCTGACAGGCAGGGCAGGGGCATGATCGGAATGAGGACTGAGTCCGCCGGAGGGTTCCGCTCACCTGCTGCCTCAGCTGGTCCTCATAGCGCTGCCGGGCCAACTTGTCCTGGTACTGGGCCCTCTGGGGAGCAAGAGTGGCATGACTTTGGTGGGGGCCGAGGTCGCAGGCCACACCCCACCCCATGGCATCAGCTCTCATACAAGCAACAGAACCCGGATGCAATGGGCAGCGCGGCCCCTGCTCAGCTCAGCACACTCAGAGTCCCAGATTCTAGACAACCACTGTCTGAAGGCCACTCAGGTAAGGTCACAACCCCATCCAGGACTCCCTGTCCCCAAGCGTCCTTACGGCCTGGTGCTGGCGCGTCTCTTCGCTCAGCGTCTTCCTCCGCTCCTCAGCTTGCACGCGGATCTGCTCACTCTTCAGCTGCTCCACGGCTGCTTCGTACTCCTGCCCACACAACACCGCTGCATGGCCTGCCCCACACCTATGCCCACCGTGCCGGGCCTCCACAGCTGGGGGCCACTGCCCCATGCTCCCTTCCAGCCCCACCATGACCGGAACTGCCTGTGTGCTGGCATGAGCGGTGCCACACACCCTGCCAGCTCTCAGCAGCGCCACCCAGAATGACGAAGGGCCGAGACAGACCCGAATGGAGAGCCTAGACCAAGGACAGGCCACCTCCCTGCCCTGGTGCTTCTCCCAAGTGCCCAGGGGCTCACTTTGTGACTACGCTGCATGCAGCAGGTGGGTAGGGAGTCACCCTGCCCCTCCCACAGATCTCTCCAAGCACCTGGGAGAACCAGTGAGGAAAGAAATACAGGTCACACCCACCCACCCTTGGGTGGCCAGGCCACTGCCGCACCCACCTTTGCAGCTGTGTGCCCAGCGCCTTGCCCCTCCTCTCACTCAGAGTGGGAGAGCTGGGCAGTCAGTCCATGCAGTGAGGAGTCACAGCCCTGGCTCAGGTCCACCCCGGGTCCTGCCGGCCCAGAGCCCGAGGGCCCCCCCCCCGTGGCACGCACCTTCAGCTTGGACTGCTGCTCCAGCTGCAGCGTCTGCTCCTGCATCTGTGCCAAACTCAGCGCCTCCTTGGCGTGGCCTACAGGGCAGCAAGCGCATCAGGACCCTGCCACCCTGCGCCCAGCTGCCCTCTCCTCACGCTTCTCCGCCCCACAGAGAGCCTGGGATGGGTGGTCACACCCTAGTGGGCCGGCACACTTCCAAGCGCTTCATGAGATAAAGCGACCCCCACCATGGGAGGGGAACCGGAGTCAGATGAGTTACGCCAACGTCCGTGCAGGGTGTCCTTCGTTTTCTCACGTCACCTAAGTGTCACACCTCCTGCCGCTCACCCGGAACATGCACCAGGAAAGACGAAGGGACATCGGGCCAGAAACGAGCGGCCGTGGTGGGCATCCCACGCTGCTACTCGAAGTCTTCCCTGCCTGTGCTCTGTTCCTGCAGTGGACCTGAGAGCCCCCAGTCTCCATGACCTGGGGGTGGGGCTCCGGAAGGTTTCCATGGTGGCGTGATGCTCTGGCCGTCAGGTTTTAGCAGAAAGACCTTTCAGGCCACCAGCGGTTGAGGGACTGTATGAGCACCCACAGCCCAGCCCTGACCACATGTTCACATCAGGCTCCATAGCGCGGCTGTCCCTCCAGAGGCCTGTCCCTGCAGCCTTCTACTGTGAGTGGCAGGTCACGGCACAGGGCGCTTCCCCAGGTGACATGGACGTCATGGGCTTGCATGTCCAGATGGATGGCAGCAGGGTGGCTGGAACGGAGCTGCTCAGCCCTCAGTCAGAGCAATGGTTGACACTGGCACCAGGGTGGTGGTGGTGGGACGGCTGGGGCTGGGGCTGTGCTTCCAAAACCCCATGTCCCAGCCCCTCCTGGATCAGAGCACAGGTGTCAAAAGGGCTAGCGTCTAAAGGACAGGCCACCTGAGCGTACATCAAACTGGAGAGGAGATCCGAACTAGAGAGCCCTGGGCTATCCAGCAACAGAGAGTGGGGAGGAGCCTGTCCTCGGAAGCACAGGGGGTCACAGTCTAACAGCACTGGGCCTGTGTCCCAGTGGGAAGCCTACTTATTGGCAACCCGACCTTTGGCCACCTGATTTAATCTCCCTGAGCCTGTGTCCTCAGCTGAAATGCACCAACTGCAGCTCCCCCCACGGCGCCTCTTAGAAGGAAGCTCGCGGGCCTGGTTCCCAGCATGCCCTCCTAACCCACAGTTACAACTGAGAAGCCGTCACCTTGAAACGACTCTGCACTGGGGAGGAAGAAACTCCAGGGGCAGAACCCTGGGACCTGGCGACTGAGCACATGGGTCAGCACTTGAGATGCAAGAGGCAGTGCCCACCCAGGCCAGGTCTGGGGCAACAGTGAAGGGAGGGGCTTGGTAGCAATGCAGAGGCACACGTGGGCAGGGTGCAGGGAGGCCCCTGGGCTGCATGGAGGATACAGGGCCTTACGGCTTCCTTTTGACAGAGAGGGAGGCTCTGTGAGTGACCATGAATGAAACCCCATAGGGGCTGAGGGCCAGGAGGGGTTCAACAAGACACCAGATTGCCACTTGTCAGAGGTGGGTGCCCTGAAGCCCAAACCTGTTCCCCAACCCCATCAGGCCCTAAAAGGATCAAAGTTTTTAAATTTCATCTGTGGGGCCCAAGGAGCCCCTCTCTGGCCATACTGCCCAGAAATGGACTTAAATATCTGAATGTGTTTATACCCCTCAGTGACTCTGAGGACCACCAGGTAAGCTGAGGCCCTGGCCCTAGGTCTTTACAGCCCCTCAGGGAAGGCAAGAATGTGGAGTCACGTGGGAGCCTGCCCAATCCTCACCTCACCCTGTGTCACAGGAGAGGCGCGGCCAGTCCCTCCAGCTCTACAGATCTTAAAGGGAGCGCCTCCAATTACAGCAAAAAAGTTTGCGAGCCGTTGTGTGGGTCGAACGGGTATTTATTCAGTGCGTCTACACCCCAGGGTCTTGCTGCACAATCAAAGTGGGGAAGATGGCGTGGGATAGATGAAAGTCCAGTCCCTGCTGGACTCTTGAAGGTCCTGGGGTCTGAAAGGTCATCAGGTGGGGCTGGGGCTCCCAAAGCTAGTTGTCCACTCAGGTGTATTCTTCAGAAGTGCAAATGATCGTCCGGATGGCTTGCTTTTTCCGTGGGAAATCGCTCACCAATCACGGACACTAGTAGCTCCCCTGACCCGGCCCCGCCTTCCAGGGCCCACGTGGAGGCAGCGGGCGGTGCCCACGTGCTCCCTCCCGATCGCAGGAACCGGTCTAGCACCGGCTCCCCGTGGCCTCTGGGTCGCTCGCTACGGCAAGGGTGCTCTCCGCGCACGCCCACCAAGTGCTTGTGACCATCAGGAAGGTGCAGGGGGTGAAAGAGGACCCTGCGCTCTCTAGCGCGGCCGGAGCCCAGTTCACCCCTGGTGGCTGCTTTCCTTCTAAGCCGCTGGCCAGTTCCGGGCCCGGAACTGCTCCTGCTCCCGGGAGCCGTCCACCTCTCGGGGCCCCGCCCGGTCCCCAGGCGCCCGCGGCACTCACGCGAATGCTCCAGCTCGCGCGCCGCCTTGGCCGCGCGCTCCAGGCCCGTCGGGTCGAAGTTGCTCCATTTGTCCTTGGGCGCCGGGCGGTCCCCAGCGCCGCGGTCCCCGCCACCCTCGCCGCCGGGCTGCGCGGGCGGCAAGGGCAGCGCCGGCCCCGCGCCCTCGCCCTTGGGGCCCTTGTGGATGCCGAAGAGCCACGACATGGCCCCGCGACCCCGCGCGCCACCGCCGCGGCAGGACGGGCAGCCCGGCGAGCTTCGCGCGCACAGGCAGCCTCCACGCGCCGGGAGCCGGCGGCCGCGCAGTGCGCAGGCGCCGCGCACGCCCCTCCCCCCGGGCGACGTAACGCCGTGAGAGCCACGTGCCGCGCGCCGGCCTTGGGATTGGCTGCGCCGCGCGTGCGCACCGCGGGCGCTCGGCCGGCTCCGGGGAAGTCGGCCGGCGTGGGACCGGCGCAGCGCCCGATTACCGGGGCCGAGCGGAGTCAAAATTAGCGGGCTGGGTGGGTGCGGACCTCGTGACGTCAGTTCCGCTTAGCAACGGCCTTGGGTCCGGTTGCTAGGGGCGCTAGATTGCGTTCTGGACCTGGCCGCGTCGGCGAGGTAGGTGCCCTGCCTGGGCCCCTGAGGGTGCTTGATGCCAGGGGTCCAGGCGCCGCCGCAGTAGAGCCGCAGCGAGGGGGCGGCAGCAGGACAGATGACCACGGCGGCCAACGGCGGAGAAAGCCCCGCCCGGGGCGACCGTGAGCGTGGAGCGGCGGGGACGGCGGCCAGATGGAAGGCCAGCACCCGAGCCACCTGCCCGCCCCCTGGCCATGCCCGACCTGTGACCCCGTGCCGCGAGCCCTCCCTGGGGGCCCCTGAAGCGAGGAAGCTGGACGCACTCGTTGCCGTGGGGCGGATTTAAGCTCATGGAGACTTCTGTGTGTCAGACCGGAACGATGCCCCGCACAATGTCCAGGGGTGGATTTGGGGGACGTTGGTCCCCGCCCTTTCTCCCGAGGCGCCTCTAGATGGATGCCAACCTCCAAACTTGGGGCTAGCAGCCGCACTCATTACCTGTTTTCACCGCCAGGGGGCTCTCCCGAGGCCCACCCAAGCTCATCCAGCCGATGGACAGGGCAGAACTGGGCCCGTGAGATTCCCAGACTGTTACTCTGCGCGGGAATAGAAAGCCCTCGGCGGGGCTGGCGGTTTCACACTCCCGACCTTGCGGTTAGCAATCCTCTGTGCCACCAGGGCTCCTACCCTCGGCCCCACAGCAGTCCCTTAATATAATGCTGGAGTGGACGCTGGTACTGGCCAGTTTCCCATAGCTGGGGTTAAGATGAAGAAGCAGACCCAAGGCAGGCTCACGCCATCATCTTGCTTGGTGTTTCTGAAAACCACAGTGGCCGAGTGTGGGATACAGAAATATTTCTCCCAAGTTGTCTTCCCCCAAATATACGCCAGACCTAAGACGCTGTCTGCTACATATGGTAAGCGGCTGTACACTTGGAGGTCAATGAACGCAGGTCAGAGGTTATTCTTTCTGGGGGGTGTCAGCCATGTAGAGTAATCAGACTGTGTAGTCTGTCCCCCCTAAGTAGGGCCCACTCCCTTCTGATAAGGATAGTAGATTGTTTCCCTGAAGGAGAACTCAGGAATGTCAAATCCACTCAAGGATGACCCAGGTTAGGCTGCCATATTGAGTCTAGAGTCCACCCATCTTGCCACACATGTACCCCTAATCCCTCCCCTGCCTATTGCATGTACACCCCTAGCTCATCCCTCTCCTGTCTCGTATGCTTATTGTGCAACCCTTTCCTGTGACGTGTGTGGTTACCTGTAATCACGCCCCCAAAGATTTATAAGCCTTGGTTAGAAATAAACTCTCCTCCTGTCTTCTCTGCCCACGCTGTGCGTGCACCTGGCTGGTGAGATCATGGCCGTTCAGGAGGTGAGCATGCTACCCTGAAATCTCTCTTATTCTGTATGACTTTACTATAGTCTCTATATATTTTAACTGCGCAATTGCGCCTATCGGACCCGTGATATAGTTGTGAGGGGCTGGTTTCCCCCACAGCTGAGGGTCCTGTGATTCTTTGCATTTTTCAAATGGAACTCATAGGGGCACGTGGGGGGCGGGCAGAACAAAGAACTCCAACACCAGAAGCAGAACAGCCCCTGTGCCCCAGCAGGGGTGCGGTGCAAGAAAGAACAGTCTGGTGTGTGGCTCTGCTCGCTGGCCGGGGAGCACTTGCTCTCTCCAGAACCTCCAGTCTCAGGTGTCTCCTTCAGGGACAGAGGAGCCTGCTAGGACAGCTGGGGGCAGAAGGAGGCAAGGACCAGACCCACAGGGGCACTGCCCGAGAACACCCAATGTCTGAAGTCACCCAGTCTTCAAAGTTGCCCCTTAGTAGTTTTTTTCAGTTTTCTCTTGTGAAAAACATATATAACAAGTAATCTCTACATGTACTATTCAGTGACCCTGAGTTCTTTTTTTTTTTTTTAACATTCTATTAGGGGCTCATACAACTGTCATCCCAATCCACACACACATCAACTGTGCAAAGCGCATTTGTACATCGTTTCTCAAAACACTTTCTCTCCATCTAAACCCCCGACATTAGGTCCCCATTGACCCTGAGTTCTTTTGATGGAATTGATGGGATTCAGAGAATCGTGTGGAGTGATTTTCCTCCCCATATTGGAAACAACTTTAAGTCTAAATCAAAAGAGGGATGACATATTTAAGGTTCGAAGGTAATTCAGTGAATCCAGATGTATTTCCCAGTAATAGTCAGAAAACACACACACACACACACACACACACACACACACACCCTGGTTGTCATCACGGTTCTATGCCTCAGCCAACCCTAGTAGAGCTTTGCTGCCTAAGGATGAGGAAGGTGATGTTCAGTATTTGTTCGTTCGTCTGCCCAGGACAACAACCTTAGCCAGGCATCTGACCAACTCATGTATCTCCTTCAACAAAACAGGAAATCACTTGGGAAATAAAGCTTGGCACTTAAACACGTTAGCATTCGACTTGCCCGTTCAAACAAATTGCTGATTGCTGTTGTCAGATTCCAATGATGGTCTTAAGAGAACTTGCACCCCCACCACTGGAGGAAATAGGAATCACACCCACGCCTGGCCTCCTTCACCCTTCCCACTCTCCAACAGGCATCCCAAATGTCCTGTCCACTTGTGTGTGTCAATTAAAGCCTCCCACTGGAAGCCACTGGGAAGAACAAGCCTGCCTTTCTTGGAGGGACTGCGTTAACAAAGGGGATCCTAGCCGACTTTCCAGGAGCCCTGGTGGCGGCGGGATGGTTGTGTTGGGCTGCTAACCACAAGATCAGCAGTTCGAAACCACCAGCTGTGCTTCTGGAGAAAAGTGAGGCTTTCTGCTCCCGTAGAGAGGTACAGTCTCAGAAACCCACAAGGGTAGTTCTTCCCTGCCCTAGAGGGTCACCATGGGGTCAGCATTGACTCGATGGCAATGAGCTTGGAGTTACACAGACTTCCCACTCAAATCGGTGATGCTTTATCAACAAAACAGTAAGTTTTTCGGAGGGCAAGCAAGAAGGCTTGGCAGAGTTTGAGTGCTGCTGGCCCTTGGTGATCTTTCCTCCCACCCTGAAGTCCACGGGCTACTCCGTGGGAATGCTCTAGCCTGGACAAGAGGCTGCAGGGGGTCAAGCTGCACACGTCCACCTGAACTCCAGCACCTGGAGCCCAACCAGGGCCAGGCGGCAGCTCGTGGGAACCCAAGTCAGCAAAATGGGGGCTTGGCCCCTTTCTGTGTCCAAGACCTGGTGCCTTTCAGTCCAGCCCCAGGCCTCCAGGGGCCAAGCTGCAGGACTTCCCAGCACTGAGGCTGCGACACTAACTGCTGGGCCAACCACATCTGTCCACTTAAACTTGGGGAATCAGCATGAAGTTGTTACTATCCTGCCCCGCCTCTTCATCCCCAACACCCCCCCTCCCTCCTCCCCAGTCACTCAGCAATCTCACTCTTCTCTTCTCGGGCGGCCTGGCCTGAGCCCTGGGAACCAGTCACCTGGGCCCAGAATGAAGTGTGATTGAGCACTGAGCCCAAAGCCGACAGTTGGCCAGCCCACAGCCCAGTGGCCACCGCTTCCTGTTTGGCCCTTCGTGTCTAGCTTTTAACCTACCTGTGGTAACCCAGAGCAGCCCCTCCCACCTAGCTGGACCCGAAGATAAGCCAGAAGGAGGGGCTGGATCACCAGAGCTATTGCTGAGGACACTGAGCTAACCTCACGTGTGCACGCTTGGGATGGCCAGTGCACAGCCTTTGTGCAGGGGCTAGGCTGTAGGCACTGCTCCCCCTGCTGGTGACAGGGGACGTGCTGGTAGGTACCAGGCCTACTGCTGCAGGGCTGAGGCTGCACCCCCACCCCTACCTTAACACCCATGCACATTAAACATTAAAAGAGACAGAAAGACAAGCAGGCTGTTGGGAGGGAGTTTCCATCCCAGGAAGAGAGCAGAGGGCTGGAGGACTTGCGCTCTGGTTTTCCTGTCTGGTCCCGTGCCCCAACAAGAGACAGGGAGGTGAAATGAGGATGTGCCCATGTCAGCTCTATGGAAACAGCACTGCTCTGCCTGGGCACAGCTCCGCCCTCCCGGGAGACAGCTTCTATCCCACGGAGAGGGACACGCACCACTGTTGGCCTGCTGCTCAGAGAATGGAGCAATATGTCACCCTCTCAAAACCGGGGAGAAAGCGACATCCTCCCAGCCAGCATCGCGGCCTGTCCGGTGTCCCAGATGGCCTCTGTGGCCCCAGGCTGTAGCCTTGCATCGGTCGGGTCCTTGGCTTCCCCTCCCTCGTAGGTCGTGGTTCAAGAACAGGAGCAATTAAACCAATGATCCATGAGTGGGCGGGAGCATCAGCCAAGCCCTACCATGGGGACTCCTGGCGTGGCCATCCTCTCCAGCCAGCTCTGTGCCGGAACTCTGCTCTTGTTGACCAGAACCTCAGCCCTTTCGGGCTACTACTGGTGCCCCGGGAGAAGGTCTCCACGGCCATATGGGGGTGGGACATGACAGTGGTAGATCCATGGCAGCTGGGTGTGAGCCAGCGCCCAGACCCAGTCTCATCTGGGGAAGCTGTACCGCTTTGGGAGCGGGGCTCCCAAACACTGCTCCAAGGCGTGGGCCCCAGGTGAAGAGGGTCTCCGGAAATCGCTGCGGATGCACAGGCTGGGGCTTTCAGGGGCAGGCTTCCCTTCAGCTGTCCCCCAGCAGACAGTGCCGGGCCTCAGCCCCGCGGAAACCAAGAGTCATCAGACAGGGACACTGAAGTCGCTGCCTGGGGAAAACTACTCAGGGACATGGTCTCTTCCTGTTGACCGACCCCACAAGGGGTTCCGGATATGCTCTGGGGGCTGGGCTTATCACCCTACTTGTCTTTGAACATAGGTCTGAGTAAGCTATCCCCAGAGGTCGTTGCTCTCGCCCCCCTAGCACTGGGCTCTGGGCAGGGCTGGGTGCTTTGGCACCCAGGGGCAAACTGGGGGTCACTCTATCCTTGGGCCCCGCCCTAGTGAAGCTGCCAGCTACCCAGCACCTGGCTTCTGGGTGGCCTCCTGGCGGTCAAGCTTGCTTATCCCACCCTGCCCTGGTGTGTGGCCAGCTGCTGGGGTCATGTGATTCTCTGAACCCCTCCCTGCTAGCCACTGGACAAACAGGGACAAGCAGGCGGCCTTCAGGGACCCAACCAGAGACAGGGAGAAGCCCCGACTCCAGGCAGGCTTCTGGCCTTGACTTGGGTGTGGACAGTGGGGAAGGACCCAACCCCCCTCCCAGAAGCCCAACCCCCAGGTCAAGCCAAGGGCAGTCTTATTCTGCCCACCTGCTCTGAGCGCCTGCCCCGGCCTCAGGCCTGGCCTCTGATCGATCTGCACACAGGCAGGGTGGGGTCTCCCCGTGGTCTCAGGGCAGGAGCTTAGCAAGCAGCCAGTGCAGCATGGGAAGCCCAGCCCAGCACCTCTGCCTGACACTTGATGTGTGGTTCTTGAGAAAGGCCACCCTTGCACACAAAGGGGCTGAAGTCTTCCTTTTGCCTGTCCAGGACCACCAAGCATCGACCACGCCTTTAACACCTGCAATCTCTCCGGTTAGGAACTTTATTTCCATTAGCAAGCGTTAGCAAAAAGCAGCAAGTTCACCAAAGGGAGCTCCTTTGCCAGCAGGGGGTGCCGGTGTGCAGCTGAGCCCTGCTCTCTCCCCAGGGGTCCCGAGCCCACCAAAAGGGGACAGGACGA